CATGGTAACAAGTAATTTCTATAATATCTTTTCAGATTTATGAAGCACAGTTACTATTGCATTTAGTTAGTATATGCAGTTTTTTTAAAAGGTTTTCAATTCACAGGAAATTTGAAGTAACCAAAAGCAATTCAAATCAATGGTTGTTTTAGGAGTCACATCCGCAACACACTTTGAAAAATTATTTTCTCTGGATCTCTACGAGATAGTCAAAATGTTTTCTGGCAAAATAAAAGGTACTTCATGGGTAATTTTATGACATGACTAATTTCAATTCAAATAGAGTGGATCTGGCTTTAGGAGACATTTAATAACCAAATTTTGCCTCTAAATGTCACGTCCGCAACGTGGAATTGACCGTTTCACTCCTTTGTCTTAAAACACAGTCATGTCTACAACGCATACACCATCCTAATGTACACACAGTGCATATGAAATGAGGGCTGCAATACTCAGAACTTACCTTCTCCCTGTGGGGCGTATCCAAGATGTTGTCCTGGTCGCATGATCAATGAAAAATGTTCTACCATTAGCATCCTTGAAAAAAGCAAAAGAAACAAAGTTTCATTAATTTTCCATTTGTTTCATAACCTTTTTTAACTATATTGATTTCTAAACACCTCTTTCACTGCCTGCATGACATACTAAGTACATCACATTATTTGCATAGTGTGTGCCTCCAAGACAAACTCAGTATGTTGAAAGTTAGAGAGCAACAATCAATTCTCTGGCAGTGGAGATGTACCGTTAACTAGACTGGCTCTAAAACTGAAAAAAAAAATTAAAATTTTGAAAAATAATATATCTGTTTGTTACAATGGCACAAAACTTCTAAGTGAAGTTGTCAGTTATCATAAGGGAAAACTGAATATCATTAACCTGTCTCTCTTCCCAACCTTCAGGAAGGGAGGGTTCTTGTCTTGAACTTTGTGGTTCCTCAACATCTGGAAGAGACTTAGGGGTAAAAGACAGAAATTAGAAAATACATCCAGAGACAAACGAGGACTTTCAAACCGTTATGGCGATGCAAGAATACATTGTCTTGAAGAAATATATTTTCACAAGCATATGAAGATATTCACACCAGAAGAGCTTTCAAAAAAAAAAAAAATTATAATAATAAAACAGAACTATATAAAAAAGGGATCAACATTTAACCCCAAAATTTTATTTAAAGCACTCCATATGATGCAAACAGAAAGCATAGGCTATATGCAGTTTTTTATAATTTTGCTTTCTGTGCAAAATGTGGTGAATGCAAATGAAAAGGAGCAAAGTGCATACATGTGCACTCCAAACCACATGTGTGAATAAAAAATAGCATTATTCTGAAAAATAAGTTGCATTAAAAGTGCTTTGTGTGAGCTATTGAAAACCTTAAAAATTTCTTGGTAGGCCTAGAATATCCCAAAACATCAACCTCTGTCCTCAAAAATTCTGAGAAGCAATTTTTGATATTCAAGGATTGTGCTTCAAGGGACAGAAAATTGATGTTTTACTGGTACTGTTTAAAAACCACAAAACAGTAATGCGACCAACCTGGGCTTGCTGTGGTGATGAAGACAATGCTGCTATAACAGCTGGTAGTGGTGGTGCACTGGGCACAGGTTGATCAACTTGGATAGTGGTAGCTGAGGGTACTGAATTGGTGACATTTGATGTAGGAGCTTGGTAATGGTCATCAACAACTCTGAGATTAGAATCTGCATCTGTGTTTGATGCTGTACGATAAAAATGTACCCTTCAATATCAAGGAAACAAACTATGGAAAAATTCAAGTTTCAAATTTCAACTGTTTAGAAAGATCTAGGTGAAACCAATGCACACATTCCTTTACAAAGATTTGAAAGCAAAGTCACAGTGAACATCTCAACTGTTAATTCAAGTTTTTATTCACGTCTTTTTAAAATTTGTATTTTTATTTATTGCAACCAACATACTGATTGATTGTCATTACAGAAGATTGATTTCAAATCTTCTCCAAGGGAAATGATGCATGAATTCAAACAATAATTATAACAAAGTGTTGTTATTGTTTTATGTATGTTGCTAGGGCCCACAAAAAGAAAATACAATATTCAAAAGGCATGCAGCAGAAGTAAAATATGGCTATACCAGGAGTTGTTGAATGAGAAGACGACAGGTCCTCTGATGGAAGGAATGATACCAATAGCTGCAAATGGCCTTTAACTCTTGATTTATTACTGCAAACAAGTCAAAGGATACAGCAAAATTATAAAGTTAGCACCTTGTACGTCATAGTCACCATCATCAAGTTGCCTTAAATTTTCCTTTTTAATTAGCACATTTTAAGGGTAAAATATATTTCCCTACATTTACACCTGACTCATTTCAACGATTAAAAAAAAAAAACAATAATCAGCAACAAATTTCCTCTTTTTTCTTAAAAATTTCTGTTTACCTCACAGTGTTCGATTTATTTTACACCAACTCTTAGTACAAAGAGAATCACATCTGTATCATTTTGATCAAAGAAGAACCTACCTCCTGGGTCTTAAGTTGTAACATCCTGGTCTGATTCGCACAGTTGAACTCTCAATCTAATACACATGAAATGCCTTTGGTTAGTGGATGAAATTTAGTACTTACATATATGTAACCAAGCTTGAGGGAACATTCACATCCCCTCCACAAAAAGCCCCACTAGAGATTCTGGAGGAGAATGATGTAGCAAAGACCATCATGTTTGAACTCAAGTATAAAAGAAAGAAAAATGTTCGGAAATGAGGGAGTGGAGAAGGGTGACAGGAAATTAGGGAACTGTGTTACATGCAAGTTCAAAAGATAGTTAGAGAAGATCATCCACTCATCAAGAGATACACAAAGATTTAAAGGATCAACAGTAAAATTTAAATGGCATATCTCATCTTCACTCTCAACAACATGTGCATGTACAAGGGAGAGTGGATTCTAGTCAGCCTTGCTTCCCCTGCCTCCAGACTCCCTCTTCTTTATTTTGTCAGATTAATATTCAAGAAGATCTAAAGACATTTGGATTTTAAAGTTTAAAATGATCATAATCTACATGTGCAAGGCATGGGACAAACATATGGATTTGAAATTGGAATTGGAAATGTTCAACATTTGTTATTAAAGACTAAGCCTCAGTCTATATTGTCACTCTAGAATTGTTTATATGCCAAATCAGCCAACAAATGCTCTGACTAGTAGCAATTTACTAATATGTACTTAAAATTTTGCATCAGCAACTTTTTCCTTAGTCCACAGAGGTATGATCAATTTGATATCACAGATTCAGAATTAAAATAATTAATACAATTAATTACCATTACCAAATTTTGTTCAAGAAAAAAGCCTTAACTATATCAACTGCTGTGATACACTTACTGGCAATGTAGTCAAAGGTAATTCAACTTCTCCAAGAAAATCATCTCTAGTCTAAAACAAACCACAAGCATTGACTTAATACAAAAAATAAAAGTGTAGTATTTAATATCTACCTCAATTTGCAACTGATGGTAGGTACATGTACATGTACAGCTGTACAAAATGTATCCTATAAATTAAACTAATTACCGTCACCATTCACATATATTCCATGGTTCGACTTATTAGTACATGCAAATGCATAATAAGAAAACATTTACAAAATGTATATCATGTGTCAAACCATCCTTTAGTACAGTATCTTGTGGTAATCAAAGCTGTGTATTGTCTGTCTAGCAGTTAATAGAGCATATGAGGATAACCTAAACAATGCTACACTTTCTGTTTGTTTCTGCTTTCTCATAATCTCTTCTTTTTGAAACTTCATTGTTTAAAAATCAAAGTCCAATGAATCCACCCAAATGAAAATTTTGTTCATCCATTCCCATCACTTCAAATTTTTTCTGTTTTCTGTTCTAATGCCTACTGTTTTCACTCAGGTGTAAACCATGCAGTCAAACCACTTTGAAATCTTGGTGAACTATGTTTTGCATGTCCCTTTGGGCTCATTTGGTGAAATGATGTTAGAGTGGAACAATAAAAAAGGCATTTCTTGGATTACTGATGGATTTTTTTTTCAGTCTAAAGGATTAAGCTTACTTTACCTTTCACTTAGGATTAGCTAAGAGTACATAATTACATAATAATCAATAACAGAATTTACATACATGTTCATAAAAGTGCTGAGTAATGTGTTCAACTATCACTTACTACTCTATTTTCATCAAAAACTTCAAATAATAGCTTGTTATCTCTAGGGTTAACCTGAAAAACAAAGATAAGCGAGGTTGACGTCCACTGTTGGTAAAAAGCTAGAAAATTTGTGTATCATGTTTAAACAATCAAAGGCTCTACCATCTACACAAAAATATAAGGATGATTCTCAACATATAATTATTAGTACAGACTTGAGACATGGTCAAGGGTTTGACTTTTCTGAATTCTCTCACCTTGTTACGTTTGCACTTAAATGAGGCTACACGCAAGTAGCCTCAACTGAGCGTTCTTAAAATAATTTGCAAATTATCTGTTAATTAAAAAAAGTCATGATTGTGTTAACGTGCAAAGGCTTTAATCTATGCCCACCAAGTAAATAGATGTACCTGTGAAAGCCAGAGTTGTATCGCAGTGTGCATATTAGTGTTACAAAAAAGCCATGAAACTCTTACCCTAAAGAAAAATCCTTCATTCCAGACAGGGTGTAAGGTCTACAATAAAAGAAGAGGAAGATCTTCTTGATAGTGTATTTACTCAGATCCAAAGTTTACTACTTTGTCAAGTGTACTTTCTAAGGCTCATTTTATAGATAAAGTTTACTTCTATTAGAAATAAACTGTTTAACTTTCAACCAAAAGGATCTAATGCCCATAATTTTATATATTCAAAGTAGTTTCAATTATGTAAATAATCAGCTGTTGATGAGAACATTTGTTTTTTATCATGAGGTCAAATTTTAGCAGATGGAATTATCCTAGAGCTGTCAACTTGGCAGAGAACATACAAGGGCATGTACAGCATGGTGAAAATCTGCACTTTCAGCAGATTCAACAGGACCCTGAAATCCTGAATACTCTATCTGCAGAGCTCTGGAGTATCCAGCTCTTAAAAGCTTTTTCAAAAATAACTTTACAAAAATGCTTAAGAGCAAAAGTTATAGAGTTCCCTGTAACTACAATTACACAGGGGTTTCATTAACATTTTCAGCCAGAGGGCAACTGGTTTTCACAGGCGGGCAAAACTTTTCGAAGTGAACTTCTTCAAAACAAAAGATAAACTTTCCTCCAAATGGTCACACCAGGTGGGCAAAACCAAATTCCTCACAACAAGTCAATTGGCCTGGTGCCCAGGCCCTTAATGAAACCCCCTGAATTACATGTACTTCCCTAATGTCAATCAGAAAAAAGTACCATATCTTTGCTTAGCATTACAATACAACATTAAATGATAATAATTATACTACATATGCCCTTACCTTTTTGATAGTATCAGTAACAACACTGTCTATCTCTCCATATTCCCGATCTCCTCTGAACAGTTTTATTTTACAGTAAGGATCACTCCAAAGAACAAAACAAAGACAAATATGATTCTACATACATGTACAGTGTAACACAAAAGGAGAACTGAGCCTGTACAGCATGCAGCAACAAAATAGTTTTTGAAGTTAAAATTTTCCTGTGGTTTTAAAATTTCCAAACCACAAATTTCATTTCTTTTTTTTAGGATTATGGTAAAAAATCTACATTATTAAACAAAGGGAAATTAATATTAGATTTGCAAACATAGGAAAAATTTAAACCAAAACATACCCAATAAAATATGGCAATAAATGCTATCAGCGAAAAAAAAGAAAAAACGCTGCTGTTCTTTTTGAGTATCAAAAAGTGTATTGGTCTTCACATTAAAGTGTCCCTGATTTTATTACAAGAAACTTGAAGTCCCAGAGGATAATATTTGATTTATTTCCTGGAAGGTCTCATAATATTTAACGATTATTCCACAAGCGTGTGTTGGATATGAGATGATAGATAGCCAACAAGGCGCCTAGCGCCGAGTTGGCTATAATCATCTCATATCCAACAAGCGTGAGTGGAATAATTGTTTTATTAAAAACATTAAATTAAATTATCAAATTTTATTAAATTTTTAGCACCTTTCAATATTAAGCTGATGCGTACGCTTGCCATATTTGTAGATTATGGTATATTGGGTCATATACCATAATGGCTGAGCCAATAAAAAAACTTGAATTGTATTATCTAATGATCCAGTTTTTAATACAGAGAGTTACGCTGTTTACTCATGATCAGAATTATGGCAGCTGGGCTCTGCTTTTCAAACAACACCATTAAAATGACTAATTTTAGTGTACCAGGGATAACTTTTGGATATTTTTGAGGACCACAATATGACATAATTATGTAAATTTTATCGTATTGACTATCACATGTATGATACTAAAATATTCAACGTGGTAAATAATTTTTGGGAGGTCTCTCGTCTTCAAGGTTTTCCAATCAATATTACAAAGTACACATCGACACTAACTGCGTTCCAACTGGTACATGTAGACAAGTCCAGATGGAAAATTTTATCACTAAGTAACGTAGAAAAATTGAAAATAATTTGAAAACTGAAAATAGCTTAAAATTAATTAATTACAAGTTCAAAATTGACTCGTAGTAAAATGACTTTAACATACTAACCCTGTGACTATATATATTTAATTTAAGTACATTAACGGGTAATATGGATATCAAAGCTTGTCAAATTTCAATCACAGAACTCGCAAAAACCTGAAACCATGCTTAATAATAAGCTTAGTGAAGAAGAATTCTATATGGTAATACCTTCAATACTACGACAGATTGCTAAGGTTTTAGCTGCATCTATGAACATTGATCAGCTATACTCTACCTTAAACCAAAAATGTCTTTCTTAGCTAAATCAACTCCTTCAACGACAATTACTCGGACAATTTTGAGGTTTGGATTCTGCAATAAACACACAGACATGAATTTGACAATACGGCTTCGTGCTTAGACAGATCTAACAAGCCCAGACCTTGACATCAAAAACATTTTCGAAGCGCTCAGAAGTTCTTAATAACTTACCCGCGAAGGCTTTAACCCATGAACAACGGCTGGAGCTCTCGGAGGCAAATCCATGAACTCTACGACGACAAACACAGAGTATACTATCTTGTCGTGAATGTTACGGCCATTTTATCAACGCATTGTAGATCCAGTTCCCACGCGGCTAGTTTGTAGCCCAAAGCAACGAATCAAGCGGAACTGCGGAGGCGGGTGTAATACTACTGACACTGTGTGATTTGTACGTCAGCGTTTTCTTTTCCAGTATATCACGTAGGCATAAATTAACTATGATTGTGGATGACTCTTCACTGAAATATGTAAATATTTGTAATCGTCTTGGCGATGGGGAAACACTGCTGATGTGAACGAACATATTTTTTTTAACAGATTTATAACTTGTGAAGGTGTAGTCTGATCGTCCGGGTGAGTGTAGTCCTGAGAAGGACTGTTGTCGGTGGTAGTGACTGACGTGTCGATAACCTGTGCGGAAGTCATCATCAGAGTCAAGTGAATGATTGTTGTCAGTAGAATGTTCTTATTCCAGTTCGTGTTCTTATTCCAGTTCACACGAACTGGAATAAGAACATTCTACTGACAACAATCATTCACTTGACTCTGATGATGACTTCCGCACAGGTTGTCGAAACGTCAGTCACTACCACCGACAACAGTCCTTCTCAGGACTACACTCACCCGGACGATCAGACTACACCTTCACATGTTACCCCCGGGTTCAAACCATTTACTGCAGATTTATAACTCACTGCACTGAGGGATAGACCCGTGAGGTAATACACCTAAACATGAGAAAACCTTGTGAGTGGCGTGCTAGTCATGCTGAATACTTTCCAATAAGCTTTTGAGTTGAAAATGAGGGGAAAGCCACTTATCACTCAAAGGACGGATAGCCTCTCTTTTTGTTTAATTTTGTTTTAATTTGTTTTGTTTGTTTTTTAAGGAATTTTTTTTCTCTCATCATTATTCAATGTCTGATTAAGTTAGCCCCCTGTATATTCGCCCACTCTGCTAAAAAAATTACCTGTTTATTTAATCGAACATGTACCGAGGGGAAAATTTCGTTGACGCATTTCTCGAAGTTAATTATTTTCACTGATTTGCCATTTTGAAATGGTGACATTCATTCATGAGTTCTGCCAAGAAATTATTATAATCTCTTGGTTCTGCGGAAACATTAAAATGCTGAGAACAGTCATAACAAGAATTACCTGATTCAGTAGTAAGTGATCACTGTTTTTTTTTTGTTTTTTTGTTTTTTGTTTTTTAAGTACTTGAGAGCATTTTGATTTACAACCAGTGGTTGGCATTGTATGCCACATTCCTGGCAAAAACTTATGAATATATTTATCCTGCTTTCGTGATTCAGACCAGAGAGTCCTCCTGCCGCTTAACTGCCTGCTGAGTCTGTAGCCGAGTCTTCTTATGTAGTCTTTAATCCGTCTCATATAGAAGCATATCTGGGTAAAAAAAGACTTCTATCACACCTTTAAGCTTACTCGACTCTAAAGAGTATCTCTGACCAAAATAGGAAGGTTTTCCATTTATCGACCAGGTACCGCGTTCTTCGATTATTTCGCGGTCATTTCCAACATTTGCTCTTATTAATGTCTAGAATAACAAGACTGAAGTTGCTTCATCGAGGAAACTTTTTTCGAAGCTTATTCAGATATCATTCAGAGAAAATTGTGATAACTGCAACAAGTCTTGCGTGGTAAAAAAGAAACAAAGAAACAAACAAAAAACAAAAAGAAGACAGATCTTTAAATTTTTACTTTTCCTAACAGCTTGTCAGTCTATCGGGATGGATCCGTCTACTGAAGGAAAAACTGAAAGAATCCGCCATATAGACTAGTTTATTTTCAAAATGAACAGTATATAAATTTACAAAGGTACAAAATCATATGCAACAGCAATTGATTATATCAAAAATGTTCTCTTATTCCTCTTTGGGAGGTTCTGAGATAATTGGATGAAACCGTTTTAATTTAGAACTTTGAGGATTAAGCCAAGCTGTCAAACTTTTTTGTTCCATTGCTGGAGAAAAACTGTCAGTGTTGGGCACCTCTATGAGTCTGGTATCATAGGGGCTGTATTTTAGGTTAAGGAGTCAATCAATTTCGAGGCATTTACTTGCAATCAATTCCAGTTACTTACAGTAACTTACCCGTTTAATAAGATACGCATACTACAACGATAACGATTTCATGGACTAATCTCAGTATGATGCATTTAAATATCAACAGCCTGACGAAAGATTAGTTGTAGGAAAGGATATTTCATGCAATTCCTCTTCCTGAAGTTGCACCACTGCTCTTTCGCGCCTGGCAACTGCATATGAGGGTATAGAAGATTGCCCAGTAGGTACCTGTGGCAGATTTAATTCCGTTATAGAAAAGAAACGGACCAAAACGACTAAGTTAAAATACATGATGTTAAATTGCAATGCAAGTTACATGACGAGTTTTTTGTTTTAAAAGACATCGACGCGTGTACTAATAAATGATTAATTTGTTGCAGGTGTGATTTTCCCTGTACATTGCCTGCTCAGCCGGCATTCCCCCGATGTAGAAGGACTTACAGTCTCGTATCACCCATTTCACCAGCCATACTGGCAGCGTCGTGCAATGGGAAAGGACAAAATTAAACCTGGAATTCCAGTCGCATTGTTCTATTATTCTGAGTGAAATGACGTAGTTGTTACTGTTATAAGTCTCTTTGCTGAAACCATACAGCTAATTGTTCTTGGTACCATTTCTTTAAGTTTTATTCCACCAACAACAATTTTCATACACCGCCGGCCAGTTACCCCAATGGATAGTGCGCTGGACTGTTGTGCGGGAGGTCGAGGGTTCGAGCCCCGGCCAGACCAACACTCAAGGTCTTAAAATAATTGAGAAGAATTTGCTACCTTTCTATAACATCAAGAAATGGTCAGATATTCTAATCTTCTCGGGACGAATTAATGGAGATCCCGTCTCCTGCAGGGTTGGGGGTAGGAGACGTTAATTTCCCACGCACGAGATTACTGTGTGATGGATGTCCTCCCGTAGGGTGGAATGGGTGGGTTTACTGGGCCCGCAGTAATTGGTGCAAGCTGTTGCGGTGTTCCTGCCGGTTGGCGAAGCTAAATAAACTATTAGCTAAACTAAACTAAACTAAATATAACTATGGTATTTGCAATCATCTCAACTTAACAAGTTTTCATAACTCGTGTATAAGCAAAGCATTGGAAAGTGTGTAGGTATCCATATCCAAATTTTGTGGACGGAAAAAAAGGAAGGTATTCAACTTATTAGGATTAAGAGCGATCGTTAAATGTGGCGATCAATTGGGGAGGACTTTTGTGGGGATGACAGCTCAATTATGTTTCTTGGAATCACAGGATCATTAGCTTTGTCAGTAATTAATGTATATTCTAATTACACTCTGCACAGTATATCCACGAGTTCACCAGATTCACTTTGAATCATGTAAACAAAAAAATAACCTTAAAAATGATTTTTTGTGACTAACGGAAAGCAACAAGAATCTATTTGATCTCAGGGCAAGAGTTTTGATACCTGGCCAAGGGGGTAGTGGGATACCAATATACCTTATATTTTCCCCACAAGATACCAGTGTACCTTAAAATCGTAGAATGTGTGATACTTAATACCTAAAATTATTTTAAAACAGAATACTAAAATTCCTAAAATTCAGGAAAAAATAAATACTTTATACCTGAATTTTGACAAAAAAATACCAAAACCCCTGGCCGGGCTTGAGTTTTAAAGTTCTGGTTTGCGTTTATTGTCACAGCCTTCTTGCCATTCCCAATTTAATCTGATAATTTTTCATGATCATCCTTTAACGCCTATGAATGCACTACCTGATAGTAAGCATTAAAAAGATCCATATTAGCTCTCCCTTTGGTATTGAGTGATGTTGGAGGTCGGTGTAACTCAAATGATTCACTTGACAGCAGGGTTGGAGTGCTGGGGACACATTGGGGTCCAGTACTACCTGGTGGAAATGACTCTTCCTCTACTAAGTCACTTGAAGATGATATGTCATCTTTTTCATAGGAAGGAAGCCTTTACAGAAAGAAAATTGTGCTATGAGTAAAAGTACTTTGCATTTATGTCCTCACATACTGTCAATTACAAGTCAGCTACTAAGCATGCAAAGCTGTCTCCCTTCGTATTTTTTTTTTGCATTTTTTGAGTGTCAACGTCTCACAAGTGCAATGAGCATAAATTAAGCTTGACACTTAGATAAGGCGTAGAAATATTTTTTACCAGTTAAACTCTGCTTGTTTTCGTCTTAGATGAGCCACATGAGCCATCACATCAAAACCTTGCTGACTTTGACGCACACTTGGTTGATGTTTGGATTGTTTCCGTCTCTTTTTCTTAAGTTTAGAGGGGTGTGGAAGGCTCTCCCTCAATGTAACTCCAGTTATTGGCTTTTTACGATCATTCAGCCCAAGAGAACCTGATCTTGCTACAACCTTGCCACAAACCTAAACAGCAACATAAATTAATCGATAAGATCGATTATTTAATATTTTTAAGAGTCAGAAATGCTTTATTCCCTGGTGTGATCTAAAAAAAAAAAAAAAAAATTCTGAACCAAGATGTGGTTTTGACTTTCTTCTGTAGTCTCCATGTTCTCTATTTCAGTGTGGTATCTTTTAAGGTTGTTTTTAGTGTAGCGTTTGAAAACAGCAACATATTTTTAATCTTAATGGGCATTGTTCAGAAAGCAAACGTTTGGACCCTTTTGAGCACGCTATAATCAGAATCGTGATGGTACTCTTTTCCTATCAGCTATTGAAATGTTACAATTTGCTGACTTTAACTTGATGTGAGAATTGAATTCCCACATCAAGTCACTTTTATTTATTTTTTCACAAGTATCTCACCCCAACTAGTGGCTGCATACAAGCATTCGTGCACTCACTGAAGAGGAGGAAAAAACATGTAAGAAACACTCTAGCTTAAGAGTTAATTTGTTGTGACAGGTTATACAAGTAAATATTTGTATATTAGGCATTTGAATATCAACAGGGAAAAGTTGGTTCCGCATTGGGCTAAAAGTAAAGCATATCAATTACGTCTTGAGTTAGCAGAAGCTACTTTTATCTAAGGATCTTTCAGGCGAAGAGCTCGGATTCACCGCAAATCTTACTAACTTATAAGAGGTAGATACCAATTCACGTGCGGAAACTTATCTTGATAAACCTTTAGTATTGACAGTTTTGCTGTTTGGGACGATCGACGAAGGTCACTTTGATTAACTTGCCTATTCCGATCAGTAGTTGATTTCCAAAGCAAATTTTCTATGAGGCCTCCACTGTCTGATGTTTCTTGTCTCCTGACAGTTTCTGAACTCCTGTAAAGACAAACGGCCTTAACCGACATCTACTCTGAAAAAATAATTGAAAACTCTGCATGGTACTTGCATATATTGTGGAACAAATCGTAAACTTGCCTTGCTGAGGGAATAATTGACAAGTTTGCCTTACAACCTTCGACAACCTCATCTTGACGAGGAAACGTTTGAGCTCCTGCCGCCGTTGGGATCATGAACAATATTAATCGGTGAATGTATAGTTTTACAAAATGATCGAAATGTATAAAAATATTTTCTTGAAAACTTTTTCTTTTTGTCGTAGGGTACGCGCACCGGGGCGGATGCAATTATTTTCCCGCGCGTTTTTTCGCGCCAATTTTCCAAAACCAAAACTCAATCCCCGCGCACGCAATCCAAAACATAAGGGATTGGGGAACAGTATCAACCGATCAACCCTCTTCTAAACTGTTAGACTCTAGATTTCCCCGATAGATTAATTTGTTTTAATCAATGAGTAACAAAACTAATGAGCTGGTCAACACTTTCGTTTTATTTTGAGGTCCATGAAAGGGTAATGTGTGGTCGCAGAAAGTAGGCTCAGTCCAAGTCCATTATTATTGTTTTCTCAGAGGATTACTTGTTGAGAACCATGTGTAATCACTGAAAACACTCCAGAGCTAAGAATTAAACCTTCTTCAACAACATGGGCGAGTTTATCGATTGGTGTTTCGGGGTTGAGCGTGGATTTACCCTCCTTATCCTAGGCTCAGAGTACTATCCAGAGAGTGTTAAAAGGGTGGTCAAGATCACGTTTCGCGGAAAATAAATTGGTCCTTTCACAATTCACGGTCACTGTTAATTACACTCGAAACTACAACCAAAATCACGGTTCACGACGAATTAAATACTTCTCTCTCATTTCACGGAGAATTATTTTGGAAAATCACTGTTCACGGCTACTAATGAAATCACAATTCACGAGGAAAAAAAAAAAAGAAGCCATTTCACGTTTCACGTGGAAAAAATAGGCCATTCATGATCACTAAATCATGAAAATACCCTTTACCACCCGCTTTCCACGTCGTCGTAAAGTGAACACGTCTCAAAGAATCTCCCATGCAATTTCTCTAACATCAACTGCGTTCTCTTCGAGCGGACTTACCAATTCGCTCACCTTGCTTTTGCTTCATCAATTCGCTTCATCAATTCGCTTCATCTTGCTTTTGCTTATTGCGTGACAGATTTCTATCGTGACAAAACTATGGCGTGAGAGTCTGGAACTAGCGCATGCCTTTATTCCAACGCTCTTGCATAACCAAAAATTTGGACTACGATCACGATTACAACAGGCAACTCGGAAGAGAAACTCCAAGTGCCACCTAAAAAACCACTAGAACACAAATCACAGTTCAAATGCTAAGAATTGGAACTCTTTCCAGGGCTCTAGGGAGACCTGTAAGTATTTCTCTATACGAAAAAGTCAATCATGTCAGAAAATTGATTTTGAAGAAGGATCGATATCGATAGTCATAACGAGTTCACGTAGCATGCCTACACGCAAATTAATTGTTTTTATTTATTTATATATCTTTTTTTTATGTTTTTAGTTCATAAAGATGCAGACCTAAAGGCAAATTTTGCATCGTAAAAATTGTATCGTTTACTCAGTAGGGACTTACCATAAGAAAATTTGATTTTAGAAGATCACTTCGTTGCGGGCTTGACTCGAAGATCGAGAGTCGTCTCAGTTATTGAATTAGATCTTGCTTATGTCTAAAGGATTAAAAATTTTGCAAAGTTTTCAGCACAGTTGTGTTACAAGTGAACGTACTGGTGAAGATCAAGGTACTCCTAATAAAAAAACAAACAAACAAAAAAAACAAGAACAACTAACTGTGATCGGGTGATTTTGATGCCTATTTAGTTCGTGTTTGTTTTGAGATGTCTATTGTGACCAACAATACGGATAGCAGTATTTAGTCCTTTGGCTCCCAAGAGTTGCTAGCATCTAGTCTCTCCTTACAATATCACCCTCAAATCGCACATTATAGTCACAAGATTAAAGGAACTGATCACCAACTCAAGAAACTCCAGATTGTTTAACACATTCCCCTTGTCAGTCCCTTTGGAAATTTACAGGGAACAGTATGGGGAATGTGCTTACTGATCATAGGGTGTAAAGAGTGAAGACTTAAATTTTGAATCAATGATTGTTGCTTTTCTTGTGTTGAATTTTCTATTTCTATTTCTGTTACTGAAATATAGGGAAGCTCTCTGCGATGTCTGGTTTCTGGCAGATGTGCATCCACTTTGGTTGTTGCTGAGCACAACAACAAGTCAGTTGTTCCCATTACTCTGCATGCAATCGCTGCTGCCAATAAACTTGGTGGTGAGGTATCAGCCCTAGTCGCTGGAACCAGCTGCGGAAAGGTTAGTAATTATATGTAAGTTATTTGATCTTTTAAAGAGATCTACAGCTATTGTGTATATATTAAATGGTGCCATTGCTTCCCTGCAGATTTTTAGTGTTCTGACATAATCAGGCTACTTGTAGACTTCTTATCAACAAATACTTGTGAACTAATTATAGAATCTTGTTTGGAGTTACTGTAGATTATGTTTCCTGTGCAGTTTAATCCTTTCTCTCCCTCTTCTTTTTTTTTTCTTTCTTATTTGATTACTGCATTTTACCAGCAATACTTCACTGACTGTATTTACATCTACATCTACATTTATTATCCTTAACACTTTTGTATCACAAGGATTTTGAAAAATAATAGTTACAATAAAATGATAATAATTACAAAAAAGGTATCAATTATGATCTAAATAAATAAGTAATTCATAAATAGAAATTCTATACATAATAATTAACAATTATTCCACGAGTGCGCATTGGATATGAGATGATAGATAGCCAACGAGGCGCATAGCGCCGAGTTGGCTATAATCATCTCATATCCAACAAGCGCGAGTGGAATAATTGTTTTATTAAAAACGCCCCAAGATATTAGACAAATCTTACCAAATCTTAAATTTTCTAGCTCCCTTTTAATTTTAACCCGACGCGCACGCTACCATATTTGTAGATTATGGTATATTGGCTCATATACCATAATGGCTAAGCCAATAAAAAGTCTTGAATTGCATTATCCAATGATCCAGTTTTTAATAATATATATTATTAAAAACTGGATCATTGGATAATGCAATTCAAGACTTTTTATTGGCTTAGCCATTATGGTATATGAGCCAATATACCATAATCTACAAATATGGTAAGCGTACGCGTCAGCTTAAAATCAAAAGGGAGCTAAAAAATCCGGTTTCTTCT